GATGTGCACGTTTCTTCCACAGGTAGAGGAGGCTTAGGTTCGTCTAGCCAAGCACCTACAGGGTCCATAGACATTGCGTACGAGGACGAGGACGAGGACAACGAGGAGGTGGACCAGAGGCACGAGGAGCTTGGACCGTCTCAGCTACAGGACGCTCCCTCGACTCAACCTACACAGCCTCCAGGCACTAGGCAACGCCGTCCACCTAACCCTTACACTCCAGGCACCGACGCTCTTGGTCAAAAAGCAAGGATAAGACTAGGAGACAGTGAGGGTTTATGGTAAAATTTGTGATAGATGTTATTATATACTATTATGATCTTGTGGACTTTTATTATGAATAATTATGAAATGTATGGCCTATTATTATGGACTGTATGGACTATTATTATGGACTATGAGCTACTATGGACTATAATTATGTACTGTGTGGACTATTAATATGCTCATGTATATGGTTTGAGATGAATGTGGCATATATTTGTATGTTTGAACATGTTGTATTGAGGTTAAATATTCATGTCATATTTGTGTATGGATTGCATCAAAAAATAGGGGAAATTATGCCAAAATTTTCTGCCTAAAGTACATTTGTGCAGTACACCTATAGCATCTAGCCTTTACAGTGATTTATCATGTCACCGTCAAATATACTTTTCAGTATCCTTCGAAATAGTGATTGAAGTCTGAATTCGAATAGGCTTTTCAGTCATGGAATCTAAACTCTCTAGTGTCCTTCGATGTAGGATTTTCAGTGATTCTGAGTAGACTTTCTAGGAGCATTTACAACACAATACAACGGCTAGCAAACCTGCCTCCGCCTATATATATGCGTTCCAAGATGCATTGCTAACCAAAAGCAAAACCAAACTAGTATTCGGTTTTGTTGGAGTAAAAATGTCTAGAGGGTCATCTATAGGAAAGGATTTCAGAGTGGAAGAGGAAAGGGAAATGAAGGGAACTCCTATTATGTGGGAGGGGTCTCTTGGTCCTGATTTCTTTGAGTAACCAGTGTATCAGTTTTCCCCCAAAACCAAGAGTGATTTCACTAAAGAGTACCCTCTCAGAGGATACGATAACCGGAAGGAAGATTGGCTAAAACGCATGCATGGTGAGGACTGCTTAGTGTAGATGTTCACCGAGAGGATCGACGGAGGTCGTCGCTTCTTCAAATGCCTGCGAGCATGGGTAATTGCTATTATATTTCGTTTGTTAAATATATTTCTCGAATACCCTTACAACTCACAGGACATATTTATTGTAGTCTTTCAAGTCTGAAGAAAACTATGGGTTCACTAGGTGGGTCGATCCTCAAATAATTTATCTACATCAACAGTACATCTACTACCTGTAGGACCGTATCTTCGATCTACAAAGGGAAGTTAGCAGCTGTTACAAGAAAGACGAAGACGACGACAACAACAATGGTGCAGGTTCACAGGCGGCACTCTACAATGACCTATATTGCACCTGCCCTAATCACAAGAACAAGGGGGCCTCCGCCGTCACCCCTGCCACCACCTCCACCAACAATGGAAGGCTATTGTGGAGAAGGTGCAACACAATTTACTATGTGGCCACACTACTAGGACGACTCTATCTTATTCACATGGCACATCTATGTATTTGTTGTTTGGTTTAATTACCTAAGGTATGTTAGGTTTAGTCGAAGGAACTATGTACCCTTGTTTGATACATGTTCTCACATGCCATTTCATGTGCTTGTTGTTCGCTTCAATTACCTAAGGCATGTTAGGTTTAGTTCAAGACCTCTGTATCCTAGTTTGGTACATGTTCTCATATGCCATTTCATGTGTTATGCGTGTTGAATTATATAATGCCCTACTTCGTTAGGTTTTATTTGCAGTACGTGATCTCATTTCACTATGTCCATAATATTAAACGAAATGTTATGACCGCAGATAATGGAAACAACAACACAATGAAAAGTCCAATACTATGACACATTAAACAATACAATAATACTAGAAGTACATGCCAACAAACTAAATAACGTAGTACATGACCTAGTATGCCCATACTTAAAGTGCATTACATGACAACACAATAAAAATTCCAACAGTAGACAACAGTGTTCATGAATAAACCATAAAACTAGCAAGTCATGGAGACTACTGAGTGCAACCTCCTCTTCTCAGGGTATCGGGATTCTCCTCCATCGCTGCATTCGCTCGGCGTGCATGCTCAAGCTTCTTCTCCCTCTCCTCCATGTACACAGCAACACGCCTCCTTTCCTCCTCTTCCTTGTGCTCCTTTTTGCAACCTCCTCTCTACGTTTATTGTCCATCATCTCCTTGTCATAACAGTTTCTGCATCCATTCTTTGTCTTTAGGCTTGATTTCAGTGTTGATCCACTGCTCAAAATCACAGAGCGGTGGAGGGATCTGCAACAAATGCAATTGTTACAAAATAAAAAAATCATGCAAGATTTCATATGACACAAAATAATTATTACACAAAATCAATTCATCACCATCTTGTTAATACGGCACTAACGAAGTGTAGGCTCAAACGCAAAATTGGAACACATCTAATACCTCTGCCTATACGTATCCTCTTCATCGAACTTGGCTACCTTGCAAGGATCGTCGTAAAAGCACATGGGCACTAGAACACCACTAGGCAGAGGCAATGGGTCGAAGGCATTTTCGGTCATCCGGCCATAACTATAATTTAACCGATTTCGTTCTAAGAACTAAAAGCAATTAACATTAAACCCTAAACCTATGGTTTCCCATTTGATCCACAACAATGAACCCATAATATAACAACATGCGCTGAGGTTACCTTGATTTGATAGCTTTTCCACGTCTTGGCATCATACGGTTGTATAATACAAATATTAAAATTGCATGAAACCCTAAGTAATGACGATTCTTATGTTGAAAAATCCGACTAATATATACCGAATCGATGTGAAAAAATTAGGAGGGGAGGAGATACCTTGCTCTCGAAGATCTACGGATCAAATCAAAGTTTCCAAGGTCTAATATGTCGATTCGTGAGGTAGGGCGAAGTGGGAGAGCAAAAACTCGAGAGGTAGGAGAAAGAAGAGGAAGAAGCCTCGGTCAGGAAGGTTGGACGCTGGGTTAAAACACCACATCGGCGCCATAGATCTTAGCGCCAAGCTCGGCGCCAATAATGCCGGCGCCAATGACCCCAGCGTCGAGGTGGCTGCCATGTCACCGCCACGTCTGCGTTGACGCCGACGTGGCCGAGGAAGCTCGACGCCAAATGCTCTGGCGCCGGGACATGTAATCTCGGCGCCACTTACTACGGTGCCGAGCTGAGGGTCTAGATTTTGAAAGTATACCTCTAGTGATATATTTATGACAAACTTAAAAAAAAAGGTAAAAAAAAAAATTCTTCCGCCGCGTATCTGTCTCGCTGTCTACCAGTACTACAAGGGCACATGCGCCCTGTTCGTTTGGGCTGGTTTGGCTTATAAGCTATGGTTAAAAGTATTATGGGATGATTTGGTGTGAGAGAAAAATACTATTCGTTGGCTAATTAGCTATGGTTTATAAGCCAAATATGACTAAACGAATATGCTGATGGTAGCTACTAGTACATGCATGTTCACTTGTTCGGAATTTGGTATGGGCGCTAGCTGCTACTACTACAAGAGATAGATAGGGGGCACAGAGGTATGTATGGATCCTCTGAGTTTGGCCGAGGGCGCATCCATCCTAACTTGGCTGTTTGGATGTACATCAATCCATTCCGATCTAAGACTTATTTAGAGTAGATTAAAATAAAAATTAGTTAATTTTTTACTCTAATAAATATGATTGTGGTCCAACAAAGCCCTACATATGTAGATTGGAAGCTCCTAACCTATACCTAGATCAAGACAGATTGACGTGCATCTAAACAAGGTCTTAGCTCAAGACATCCTATTTGCCGGGACAATGTTTCATCACTCGTTCAGGAATTGTAGACTTGCATAACACACCGTGCAATTTCTCGTATCCAACCGAACTCGTTCCATGAAATTGCACACCTAAGGGGGTGTTTGGTTTGGATGGTTTAAAGTTTAGCTGGTTAATTTTAGTTCCATTTAGTCATTTTTTACCTAAATACTATGCTAAATAGGACTAAATGGGCATTTAGCCAATTAGTCACCAAGGGGTTGCTAAATAGGACTAAAGCTCAGACTGTCTCACCTTTTAGTCACTTTGAATCCAAACACCCTGATTAAAAGAGACTAAAGACTTCTTTGTCTTTTTAGTCCATCAAACCAAACAGAGGTGGCTAAAGTTTAACAGCTAGTTTAGCTGGCTAAATTTTAGCAGCTTCAATCCAAACGGACCTAAAACCTAGGGTCAACAACAGTACATCTAAGTTTTTTCTCCTCTTCATTTTGAGGTGCGTCTTGCAGGACAGCAGGAGGGAACTCGAAGCAAAAGTGTCCAGATCGACAGGTTAACTGCGACGTTCAAGGCAACAAGTGGAGATGATAGGCCAATGGCTGTTTTATTTATTATAGACTTTAGCGTCAGAAATCACAGCAATGGTTTCCAGAACAAATTGGACTGTTCGGTATTAAAGCTAGCTGACAGCCGGATAAAGCTGATTCGTTGTAAGAGAAAAATACCGTAGATTTTAGCTGATAAGTCAGCTGATAAGTTCAAACTAACAGACCCAATAATAGCTGGCTGCAGAGTCCTACACATAAGCATCGCTGCTGGCGCTTCATATACTCCAGCAGCGGTGACTGGCTGTGCCTCACTTTGAAATAAAGCGGGGAAAAACTTCTGTTTCTTATAATAATAAAAAAGAACCATATCGCTAGTATACATTTCCCATCGAACAGATCATGCAACTTTCCTACTAATCAGATCCCAGCCGGAGCCTCTGATTTTTTTTTTCTGATGTTGATTTAGGTGCTTTGCTAGCTTGCTGCTGAGCACGCTCTTTTGTATTTGCGGGGAGGCTCGCAGTACGCACGGGGTTCACGTTTTGTTGATATATATACGTCACCAAACATCTCTCAAGTATCTTCCTTCCATCTGCAGGCTCTTCACGTAGCTTTCTGTCTTCGAGTTGTCCATAGACCCCTGCAAAACACATTCAGGGTACCATTCAGTGAATCGGAATAACGATCTGTACCTGTTGTAAACACTAGCAAAGATTTATCAAGGAATCATGCGACAAAAGTCAAGCAAGCACATGTTCAGGCCATATATTAGTCAACAACACCAGCAGACAAGGCTAGGAACACTGAACTGAATAATCTTTAGTCGGTAACTGGGTCGGCACTAGCCAAAAGGGCGTGAAATTACAGTTTTCTACAACATGATTTGACTACCCTTGTTATGAGGATACATTCAACAAAGACACGTGAACAAGTAGAATACGGAGACGCAAAAAAGTTGCAGGGAGTTTATTTACTCGAAAAAGGCAAGAAAAGTTACACGGTAGACCTAAAGCGGCAAGGCTCTGATGTTGCTGATAGTAGTCAGCCAAGCTTTGCAAGATCGATGATTGGTTGTGGATTCAAAGGCTTGAGTAACAGGTAGAGCAGTCTAGCCATCCACTACTTTGGCCCTTGGTAACGCAATTAACTAAGTCTAGAAAGCAACAAGGGACAGTGACGCGATGGCAAACTTACGGAAACTTGTTGTACCTGCTCCTGGACGATGGTATGTAGTGTGCGATGGACATCTCTGGCCATGCCTTTTGCATCACCACAAACATAAATATAACCTCCCTGAGAAATGAGGCTCCAAAGCTCGGCAGCCTGGGAAGATTACATAAGAATGGTGAAAAAAAGGGGAAATATAATGTTTTTTCAACAAAACATGATTGAGCAATGATAACCAGTTTACCTTCTGTGCCATTTTGTGCTGAGCATACTCTTTTGTAGGACCCTCATGAGAAAAGGCTACAATCAACTCAGAAAGGACACCACTATCAACAAAATTATTAAGCTCATCCCCATATATGAAGTCCTGAACAAACAAAACACTAATAATTAGTAAAATTTTAAAGAAGCTAGGAAGTACATCCAACATGTAAGATCGTTTATTTAATGCATTTCTGTACATAAACAGCAACATGGAAATTTTTCTTGATACATAAGGAGCTTTGAAAGAGAAATAATCGCATAGCAGATAAGTATTTTCTATGTAAGAAGCATAAGTGAAAAACTGAAAGATTTCAGCAGTAATGGAGTTCTGCATGCTAACTGTAGATGAAGATGGAAAATGTTGAAACATAAGCCATACCATCTTCCGATTTCTGCACCCAAAAAAGAGGATAGCATGGCCTAGTTCTACCCCTGCCTCTTTTAAACCTAGTCGTTCCTGCCAGTGCAAAATATAGCAGCCATGCACACGAAAAATCATAAAGGGGGCAAAGTTGGAAGAACAATGAACAATGTCAACTTAAAACCAAAAAAACAAACCTGTAAGAAGCCCCTGAAAGGTGCCAGACCAGTCCCAGGGCCAATCATTATAATGGGCACAGTAGGATCAGCAGGCAGTTTGAAATTTGATTGCCTAACAAAAATTGGAGCCCAGCTACATTCTTGGCTCTCTTCCAAGGGAGTGGAATGCTGTAAGTAGGATAAGCATACTAAAATGTTTACTGGATGACATGATGAGTGATACAAGTAACTTGAAAGCATTAGATTTACCTGAATACATTTACGTAATTATATTTGTTATAAATTAGTACATCTCCATTTCAAGATTCGTCTCAGAAGAAAGAGAAGAACAAAAATGGCTTCTAAATATGAAACAATAGGCAACATTGTACCTTCATCCAAGTAGAACAAACTCCTTTGTGAATTCTTCCAGTAGGGGTTGGCCCATATACTAGTGCACATGTCACATGAATCCTTGTTGGTGCTATTCTGTAGCAATATAATTTCAGTCCTAACTGACCAATCAATTTGAAATTTTAAATGAGGTATTATTTAGAGTCATGGGTACTTCGGTGAGGAAGATATTGAGTAGTATCTCGGCTGCAGGCGAGGACAAATAGCTGCAAAGAAAACACCGAGTGGGGGCTTTGCTGATGGGAACTCTGACATAACTTCCAAGAGACTTCTTTGGCTTGTGACTATCCATTGTGAATACTCCTCCTGCCAACGAAATTAATGTGAGACACTGTCAGACTGAAATACAACACCAACATCAGAAACTATATTAATCTATTTTACCAACAAACCTTTCCAGCAGGAGATGCGAGATGTCTAAGCCGCTCAGCCTCTTTGGAATCAGATGCATGAGCCGCCAGCGCCAACAAAGCACTCTGCAACAGCCATTGCAGAAATAACATTAATGTGAATGAAAATGTCATTAACAAATGGATGAAAAGAAATAAACATAAGTTCACCTTCTTAGGCAAATTCAACAGATCTGCATATCTGGTAAGTGCAGTCCTCACTGTGCAAGGGGACGGGAAAGGAGGTGGCAAAGAACCCCCACAAAGTGGGGTACCATCCTCTTGGTCAGCATACAACAACAACAACAACAACATAGCCTTTCATGTACTACTTGACACCCAAGTCACGGTTCAGGCACTTCAATAGCTGTTTTCCAAGTACTCCTATTCAAACATAGATCTCTAGGTATATCCCAAGCTTTCAAATCTCTTTTTATTGCCTCCCCCATGTCAATTTCGGTCTTTCTCCACCTCTCCTCATATTATTAGCTTGGCTTAGGACTACACAATGCACTTGTGCCTCTGGAGGTCTCCTTTGGACATGGCCAAATCACCTCAATCGATGTTGGACAAGTTTTCTTCAATTAGTGCTACCTCTAGGCGATCACGTATATCATCGTTCTGAACTCGGTCCATTCTTGTGTGACCGCAAATCCATCGCAACATACGCATTTCTGCAACACTCAGTTGTTGAACATGTCGAATCTTTGTAGGCCAACATTCTGCTTCATACAACATAGCCGGTCTAATCGCCGTTCTATAGAACTTGCCTTTTAGCTTTTGTGGTACCCTCTTGTCACAGAAAATGCCAGAAGCTTGTCGCCACTCGATCCACCCTGCTTTGATTCTATGGCTAACGTCCGCATCAATATCTCCATCCCTCTATAGCATCGATCACAGATACCGAAAGGTATCCTTCTTATGCACTACTTAGACATTCCAAACTCACATCTCCCTCCACTTGTACAACTCCGCCAAAGTCGCATCTCATGTATCGGTTTTAGTTCTGCCCAATCTAAAACCTTTAGACTCAAGTGTCTGCCGCCATAACTCTAGTTTCCTATTTACTCCCGCCTGGCTTTCGTCCACTAACACTACATCATCAGAGAACAACATACACCAAGTGATATCCCCTTGTATGTTCCTGATAACCCCATCCATTACCAAGGCAAAAAGATACGGGCTTAAGGCTGACCCTTGATGAAGTCTAATTTCAATTGGAAAGTAATATGTATTACCATCGTTTGTTCGAGCACTAGTCACAACATTGTTGTACACGTCATTGATGAGGGTCACGTACTTTGATGAGACGTTATGTTTGTCCAAAGACCACCACATAACATTTCTTGGTATCTTGTCATAAGCCTTCTCCAAGTCAATGAAAACCAAGTGGAGGCCCTTCTTTTGCTCTCTAAACCGCTCCATAACATGTCTTATTAAGAAGATTGCTTCTGTGGTTGACCTTCCGGGCATAAAACCAAATTGGTTCGTTGATATCTGCGTCGTTCCTCACAAGCGCTGCTCGATGACTCTCCCATAACTTTAGAGTGTGGCTCATCAACTTAATTCTCCGATAATTAGTATAATTTTGGATATCTTTCTTGTTCTTATAGATTGGTACCAATATGTTTTTTCTCCACTCCTCAGGCATCTTGTTCGATCAAAAGATATTGTTGAACATCTTGGTTAGCCATACTATAGCTATATCCCCGAGACATCTCCACACCTTGATTGGGATACCATCAAGGCCCATCGCTTTGCCCCCTTTAATCATTTTCAAGGCTTCTCTGACCTCCGATTCTTGAATCCTCCGCACAAAGTGCCTATTAGTGTCATCAAACGAGTCGTCCAGTTAAACGGTGGTGTTCTCGTTCTCACCATTGAACAATTTATCAAAATACTCTTGCCATCTATGTCTGATCTCATCCTCCTTCACCAAGAGCTGCTCCCTCTCATCCTTTATGCACTTGACTTAATTGAAGTACCTTGTCTTCCTATCGCGAGCCCTAGCCATCCTATAAATGTCCTTCTCTTCTTCCTTCGTACTTAAACGTCGGTAAAGGTCCTCATAGGCCCGCCCCTTTGTCTCACTCACCGCTCGTTTTGCAGTCTTCTTTGCCACCTTGTACTTTTCTATGTTGTTTGCACACTTGTCATGATACAAGCGCTTATAGCACTCCTTCTTTTCCTTAATAGCCTTTTGCACATCTTCATTCCACAACCAAGTGTCTTTCGAGTCACATCCGCTCCCTTTGGTCACTCCAAGCACCTCTGAAGCAACCTTCCGAACGCATGTTGCCATCTTCTTCCACATGTTGTTTGCATCGCCTTCATCATTCCAAGGGCTATCTTCAATGACCTTTTCCTTAAAGACCTTTGATGCCTCCCCTTCTAATTTCCACCACTTCGTTCTAGCAACCCTAGCTTGTTTGTTCCCACGAGCTTGCACCAAAAAACAGAAGTCAGCCACCACCAGCTTGTGTTGAGCGACCACACATTCTCCAGGTATCATCTTACAGTCCACAGCATAAATAGAAAATAAAGTATCTGGTGAATAACCTAGCAGCTTTTCTGCCTCTTCGACAGTTTCGATGCAGTTTTCAGCATAGACACCAACATGATCTCCTGTCTCATATCTAGATAGGTAAAGAGGACTCATCAGCAATCTGAAGTCCAATTTAACAATAATGCATGTCTATTGTCTACTACTATTTTCAGAATTACCAGATCGAATTAATCGAATATACTTACTTTAGGCCAGTTCCAGTAATATCAAACTCTAAATGAATACAGGATCGGTCAGAAGCTGGTGTATGAAGCTCTCGCCTCACAGCCACATTTGCTCTGCAAGAAAAGCATGATCTGCATCAGCTCATACGACAGGCACAGCAAATTTCTAGGCATATGAAAGTGAGAAAAAAATCCATACCTGCAAGGATGTTGAATGTCATAGACAGCATGGCCATTACTGAGAGTAAAAGACTTGTTAATGTGCATGGCATCCTCTGGTTTGACAAACACAACTCTATATTCTGGAATAGCAGCTGTGTAAGAAGTTGTTGCAGTTGAAGAATCATCTTCCTGACGGAGTAACTTATCCAATTCTGGCCACAGAAGTTCCTTCCTTTAATCAGAGGAGCCAACAGAAGGCGTTAGCTTCAGTGTACAAGTGTCAAAGCAAACAGACCATAGTCTACTATATATTGAGATAAAAGTTGGGATATGTCTGCAAGCAGAAGCACTACACTCAAGATAAACCAGATGAATAATCAGGAAAAATGAAATCCATGCCTCAGTTCAAAAATTGAGACCACAATTAAGTTCATTGGGATTCATACCATGCGTTAAAGTCATCCTCAATGCATTGATCATCATCTCCAAGACCAACAGGAACGATACGTTTGCCACCTAGATGAGATTTAAATGGACAGGAATTAATTACCCTCGAATGTTCAAGAACACAAGTTAACTGGAAAAGGCATGTAATCCACAATACATAATGCAAAAGATCCAATGTATCTCACTGAAGAATATTATTTACATTGTGAAACAGCTGGTCAGTCATTTTGAAAAATAAGGGTTGATTTGGCTTATATTTATACAAAAGGTAAACGTTCCACTCAGGCAGCCATAAAAAACAGATATTCAACTCTTTAAGCATGTATTAAGCAGTATTGCAAAACAACACGAATAAAAATGCAATGTGTTTACAATGCACATGGTCACCCACGACATCGTTTACGCTTGATATGCATTCTAAAAGAAATTCCACCTATGATTAGAGTGACATGCAGAACTTTCAGGGAGCACAGACATACATACATACTGTAGTATGCAAGAATCATTGATGTGGCCAGAGATTTTTGCTACCTTGTTCCGCCAGGAGTTGATCAACCACCTTTCCAACCTTCAGTTGATAACGAATTGGCAACAAGAATAGCATAAGTACAAATCAGAGTTCATACATGCATCCAATCAATGTAGACACACCAACAAACCTTGTTAAAGTGCTCGTACTGTCTATTTCCGAGGCCAAACACCCCAAACCGAAGATTATTCAACCACTCGCCTTTCTCATTCCCCTGCAGCCAAACCAAAAAAAAAAAGACAATCAATAAGTAGCACCAAAGACTCATGCACAAGTGCATCCAAAAAGTACATTTGTATTCTAACCTCTGAGAACCATTTATAAAACCTCGCCGCATTGTCAGTTGGCTCTCCATCACCATAGCTGCAACGACAGCAACAAGACACACGTTGGCAATTCACCGAAAACGAAATTCATACTTTCCCCAGGCTTGATTAACTAACTTAATCACGTACAGCCCCAATTCTTACCTTGCCAGGAAGAACAATGCGATGCTCTCCTTCTTAAGCTTCTCCTCGTATTCCTCATCCTCGGCGGCGTAATCTTCCTGAACCCCAAGGGAGTACATGTATGAATTGTAAGAGACGAGCTGATAGAAGCAAGAAATTTTGAGCGGCAGCATAAGGATGAAGCCTCCGCAACATACCAGATCGACCACCTTGAAGACAGCCTTGTCGTACCTCGCCTTGGCCTCTTCGGCGAGTGCCTGCATATCCACGCCCAAAGTGCTGTCAAAACCGATCTTACCAAGCGTTGCAAGCAAGAGCAGAGCGCCGAGCTCAGGCTTTAGAAGGAACCATAAACACAGCAAGCAGTCAAGCAGAATTTGGGTAGGAACCTTGGCGAAGCCCTCGGCGGTGCCGGTCTGCGTGCCGAAGAAGACGGTGACCCTCTGCCTGCCGTCGTCGGGGTCCGGCTCGTCCTTGGGCTTCGCGGCGAGCGGGCGCGGCGGCGCGGGGCGCGGAGGAGCGGCGGACGAGCACGGCGAGCGAGGTGGTGAGCAGCAGGAGGAGGTGGCGGTTCTCGGCGAGCCAGGACGCCCAGTGCGCCCCGCCCTCGGGGTCCCGCCCCGTCAGCAGCGCCGCCAGCAGGTCCAGCGCCGAGGGCTTCAGCGCCGCCGCCGACGCCGCCGAGTCCATCGTGGCTTGATGGGCAGGGTGCGGTGCGGCTCGCGGCCGGGCGTGTCTGGTCCGATGGGATCGAGGCGGAGATGACGCCCGCGCGCGTGAACGCGAGGGGAGTTGCGGCACCGGCGGCCTGCAGGCTGAGGAGGCGGCGAGTCCGGGACGGCGGGACGAGTGACCGAGCCGGGCGCCAATAACTCGGGCGAGCAGCGAGTAGCGACCGCGGCGCTGGTGCCTTTGCCTTGGTGGCGTTCGGGTCGGGGCAATGGCAATGATGGGACCGGGCGCGGGGTTGGCTCGGCTCGCTCTGTGGCTGCCGTTAAGCCAGCGGGCTCCGTGGCCCCGTTCGCCTGCCTTAAACCGATTTAATTCGTTTATTTTTTCATCCGAAACAATATTTTTCTCTCGTAAATTTCTCCAGTATTCTTCTAAACCATCCAAATTTCTCCAGAATTGCTGCAAGCGAACAGGCCCTGTATCTTCGGCCGTCTTTAGTTCGGCCACCGAATCGACGCCACCGAATTTCTCCAGTACCGTTTGTTTTTATTTGGTTTAATTGTTGCAAAGTACAACCAAACTGTGCAATTAGTTTTAATTTCGTCAACATTTAAAACGTCTGCAAGTTTGATGTGAAAGTATAACCAAATATGTGTCAAATTTAGTTTTGGGGAACTAATTTTATCAACATTTGTGTTTCTCGCTCTGCACTCGCGGTCTCTCGTTAAGGATGGCAACAGATCGGGTTTAATCCGCGTTTGATGATGGTTTTTCACCCACGGTTTTTCGGGTTGAATTTTTTTTTTTTTGGTTTTCACCGTGGATATCCAATGGATATCCGAAATAAATCATTTGTTAAAACAAATTTAATTTGTTTAATTAGATTATTGTTGACTCATGAAAATAAATTATTTGCCTTCTTTATACATGTGACCCGAATCCTGTGTTTCTGGCGCTCTGCACTCGCGGTCTCGGTCGGTCCTTGCTCCTGCAGACTCCACCCGACCTGGGGCCGACGGTCCTTGCTCCTGCAGACGGGGCCGACCGCACGGGGCCGCGGCTGCGCGTGGCTCGCTGCACGGTGCTGGACGGTGACACGTCCAGTGTGGCGTATGTGTGAGTTTGTGACCGTCACGGACCTCCTTACAACGCAGCATTTGGTACTCATATTAAAATACTCCCTTTAAAAAGGTGTTACTAAGGTATTCAAGCTAGTCAATTTTTTTCGTGTTTAACTAGTTTTATAGAAAATAGTAATATTATTTATATCTTCAAATAAGTTTAATACAAAAATATATTCAATGAACTATCCAATGATACTAATTATGTATTTTAAATATTAATATTTTCTTATATATTTGGTTAAAGTTAAAAACGTTTAACTCCTCGGAAAATGAGAACGACACTTATTTTTGGATACAGAGTATATATAATAGAACATAGATATAAAATGGAAAAAATATAGGACTAGAGTTAGACGGTCCTACGGAATTTTAAATTTCAAATGTATAAAAGTTTCCATTCTAATTTTTGAAGCCAACATTTAAAAATAGTACAGGAATTCTAAGAAATAGGACACACAAGAAAGTCTCCTACGGGACTGGAGGTCGGGTGTGCCATGCCGCTATTGCACCGCTAGTGCTCCCCATCCCCATGCTTGATAAGTGTCATCGTTGAGTCCCCCCCTCAATGCATCCACTAAACATCCCATTGGGATAGGGTTAGGGTTTGGAGGAAGGCAGGTGGCAACTGATGGAATGAAGTGAGGTCATAGGGGTGCAGGTTTGCAGAGATGAAGTGGCCTGGACCTGTACCAAGACGCCTAATTGGCAGGGACGAGATGACTGTCACTTTGGTCTAATTTAGCCATTGTATTGCCAGTTCTGTTGGTGGGATGCAAGACCTATAATCCAGACCATGCCAGATTCAACTTGGACAACTTTTTATGCTAGCTATTTCACACACTAGGTTGTGGTCTAGATGCTTAGTTCCTAGATCTTTGTCGTTTAGAGTTTTGCAACGTGGTAAATTTGTGTAGGTCTTTATTGAAGAAATTTATTCTTTTTTCTAAAATATTTTTTATTTAAGTAATGAAGGAACTTGTTCTTGTTTCTCAAACAACTTCAGGATTTAATAAGTTGATTATCTACATTGAATTAACCTCCAGCATCCTCAATACTATACACAAAGGACACAGACATTTTACTTTAGAAGGGAGGACATAATCAACTTACACTAAGGACCTCAACCCAGTCAACCCCTTCCACGAGTCTGTTGAAGTGCTTCAGCTAGTGTCGCCTGTGTGAGCGCCATGATGAACATCTCCACGACAGCTAGTCTCATCGTGGGCCGCCATAGTGTCGAGACAAAGATCCTTCACCCTAGCCCCGCCGGAGCGGCACAAACCGCTCCATCAACAGGCGGTTGGCCATAGTAGTGTAGCAATATACCTCTTGAGCTTCGCCTTGGCCTAGCCTCGCTGAATGCCCTCCGGGGTGAAGCACCACGTCCTCGTCCATGCATGACATTGGTGTAGGCACGTAGCAGTTACACTGGTACAAGGCGGAGGATGCTACCCAATGTGCTTGTCTCACGGGCCATGAGATGAAGGGCTGGCAGAACTGGTGGTCTTAAGTGACCAGGGGTCCCAGCACGTACATCACGCACAATCATCCCTGGTACTTGTTGATTCAGCATTTCATCTTCTTCCCCTTTTTTTGCGATTCAGAGCTTCATTCATTAGGGGGTATGGGCATTTCATCTTCTTCCCGAGCCATCCACGTCATAGCTTCTTTCCCTTTTCACGTTGAACAGTGAACCCTAACATGAAGATCCCTAATTAGGTTTAATCATCTTCACAACATCATGGCATGTTGTTTGTTTTCGAAAGGAAGATACTAGCATGTTGTGGCAGAAACATGTATTATAGTAGATCACGTGCCAAGAAACTTCTGTGTTGCTTATAATATAGGTTTGGATGTTGCTACCTATACAATTTCTAAACGAACTTATAATGATAAAACAAACTTATAATCATCAGCTACACTATCATTATAAGTTCGTTTGGTGGTCGGTTGGCTTTAGCTCCTGCTCCTGCGTGAACTGTAGTAAGAAGCTGGAGCCGCTAGAAGCCGTATCAAATGGTGTAACCGTATAAAGTTAAGGATGCAGCACCCTCGTCACAAATCACACAAAAAATACATATATAGGCAGTTGACTTTGGGAGAAACAAAAAATGATCGACCACGCAGTACTTGAGCCCCCACGTTTACATTGCTACATGTCACATTCAGTCACAAGAACTCGGGCATGCCGGACTCGAAGCCCTCCACGAGCTTTTTCAAGTGGTTTCGCGCTGCGCTGTTGAGGACAGATAGTTTCAACAAGTACTCCTTAAACGCTGCGGCGAACTCAGCGGCAGAGGCCGCGTCGAACTCAGCGCCAGGGGCGGCGGCTGTCCCCTTCAGTTCGTTCCACTCCTCCTCGACGCACTTGTGCAGCTTCTCCACCGACTCCTCGGCCACGCTCTGGGTGTGCAAGCACAGCTCGATTTTCTTCCTGTCGCGCACCGGGTCCATGTAGTACACGAACGGGTACGTCCAACTCAGCACCCGCCGGGACTCGACGATCAGCGCGAACCCCTCTTCAAGACAGCCCAGCTCCGCCTGCGACACGCCGTTGGCCTCGGTGAAACCCCTCAGCGCTCCGCTCTCCAGGCGGTCGAGGTCCTGCCGCGCCTTCTTCATCGACGAGCCGTGCGTCATCCAGCGCTCGTAGTAGAACATGTACCTGTCCAGCGACGCCTTGGCGTGCTCCCGCCGCTTCTCCTCCTTGGCGTTCTCCGGCTTGTGCGCCACGTAGCGGTTGCACTGGTAGTAGCTGCCGCCGTGCTCCGACCACGGGCCGAGGCAGATCCAGCAGAACTCGTGGCGGCAGGGGGCGTGGCACGTCATGTGGTTGCACCCCTGGTTCTTCTCGATCGCCCGCCGGCACCTGGGGCAGTGCTTCGTGTTGGCCAGCACCCAGTTGGCGTTCTCCCCGTCGGAGCTGTTCTTGGCCATCCACTCCCGGGCCGTCTCGCACGACGCCGGCCGGTGCGCCTCCTCGCCGCACCGGAAGCAGAACATGTGCTTGCACTCGCACGCCACCTCGTACAGCGCCGACCCGGGCTCGGCCCTCACCGCGAGCGTGCACCCCGGCCCGGGGCACCACCGGACGTACTTGCTCGTGCCTTCCTCCACGTACGACCGGACCACGAACGTCTCGTACCGCGCCCTGTCGTCCGCGCCGGCGGCGACGACCTCGCGCAACAGCTCCCGCGTCACGGGCGCGCCGCAGCTCGGGTCCGGGCACCGCAGCACCAGGCACCGCGCGCCGTCGCCCACCGCCGCGTGGATGTAGCCTCCCCAGCACTCGCGGCAGTAGTAGTGCGCGCAGCCCGCCGAGATCATCTCGCCGGCGGAGTGGACGTCGAAGCATATGGCGCAGGTGAGCAGCCGGTCGTTGACAGCCGTGGCGGCGTCACCCTGGTCCGCCGTCAGGCCCACGGCCTCGCGGATGCGCCGCTCGTCAGAGAACCACTCGTTCTCCAGCCGCTCGGGGTCCCACCGGCAGTGCCGCAGGAAGACGGCGGCCAAGCCCCACGGGATCGACAGCAGGTCGGAAACACTCGCCGTGACCTCGTCTTGACGCTTGCGCACGTCGGCCTCGGTCTCGAAAACGTAGCCCTTATCGTTTCTCTCGGCCTGCGGGATATCCTCGTCGTCGTCGCTGACGACGTCGCCTCCGACGTAGCCGTCGCTTTGGCAGGACTCATCCTCATCCATGCCCTCGTCGTCGTCCACGCCGTCGGAGCACTCATCACCGCCCTCGTCGTCCACGCTGCTGAAGTAATCCTCGCTGCCGTCGTCGTCGTCATACGAATTATACGATTCCTCGCTGTCGCTGTAAACCATGGCGGCGCCGCGTGATGCCAATGAATCCCGGAAGATCTACGCTATTTTTGGCGAGAGTTAAGCCTTATATTAAGGCGCCGCGATTTAGGGTTTCTCGTTTATCTTTCCCGATCGGACTCGTTTAGCGGATATGTAATTAACACCGGACTCTTGATCATAAGTCGGTTCCCGGCTTATATGTAAATTTTTTTTTGACAGAGGTAATCTCCACTTTTATAGAAAACACACAAGACTGTAATTAATACTGAAGGCAATTAAAGACATCATCGTGTAATATGCAAATAATGGCTTTCAATTATAAAAAAAATGGCTATTACACGCCAAAGATCATCGTGTCAATAATGGCTATGAAAAAAAAATGGCTATTACACGTGCAGGTAATGCACACCCGCGAAAAAAAATATGAAAAGAGAACTAGGTTTGGTTATATTCTTATAATTCTAATTTGCATCCTTATTTGCATCACACGGAGGGTAAGACACAATTCGGATTCCGAACGCAAATGCACCGGCAGCCATCGCCTCCGCCGTCGCCGTCGTTGCATCGCCTCAGATACGCACTCCACAGCACGCATCTGCCATCACTGGGCCTACTCATTACGAAGCTGATTCCGGCAACATGTAGCCCCAGCATCCGCCGCCTCACTGTGGTGGCATCCTTCATTTCCAGAGACGCCTCGATCAGCCCGATCATGGGGTCGCCGATGGCACCGTACCTTTCCTTCGGATCCCTCGCCTGCATCAGGACCACGTGGACCATGCAGTCCTTGCTGACGGCCTTGTCCCGCTTCCCGTCGACGGCAGCGGCGGCCGTGGCCGTGGCGGGTTCGGTAGCCGCTGCCGGTGAGGCCATCTGGATCTTGAGGCCTTCCAGGACCAAATATTCCAGCTTGCCCATCGCGTCGAGGACGAGAGCTTCCACGAGGTCGTCCCCCGAGATCGGCCGCGCCGTCCGGCGCACGGGCTCGCCGGGGTTCTTCTGGCCGGTGATGTCCTTCAGCGGCATTAACTGGACCAGGAACTTGCGCAGGTCCTCGGCACTCATCGCTGCCATCTTGCCAAGAACCTGGTGAAGAAGACGGCGCAATTGTCAGACCAAACACCAAAGCAGAAGTCAGAGGACGGTGTCTCGAATCTCAATGACATGGAGACGCATTCATCCATGGATAATGTCAGAGGGTCTTGGGTTCATTAGTCGCTCCTAAAATTCGTGTCATATTAAATATTTAGATACTAATAAGAAGCATTAAATATAGATTAATTATAAAATCAATTACATAGATGGAGGCTAATTTACGAGATGATTTTTTAAGCCTAATTAATCTGTCATTAGCACATATTTACTGTAGCACTACGTTGTCAAATCATGAACTAATTAGACTTAAAAGATGCATCTCGCAAATTAGTCGTAAGTTGTGCAATTAGTTTCATGATTATTCTATATTTAATACTCCATACATGTATCTAAATATTCGATGTGACATAAATTTTAGAAGGAACAAACAGGGCCCTCAGTGACATGGAGTAACTAATAACAATGTTAGCCGAAACTCACCTCAGACGCGCTCGCCGCGTCCGCGGGGACGGCGGGCCGCGACACCTGCACGGCCAGCCGCTCCCACGGGCGCCCAACCCGCCTGACCTCGCGCATGTAGCTGCCGTCCTCCAGCCTCACCACCTCCTGCGCGCCGCAGCAGGCGCCGTGACCGACGCTGGCACGCCTCGTTACGGCGGTTGTGGCCGTGCCCGTGCCCGTGCTTGCGCTGCCGCCCTCCGCCGTGGCCTTGGCGCCGTTCCCGACGCGATCGGTGGCCTCGCCGCCTCCCTCCGCCGCGTGGCCCCTGACGACGCGCTCGGTGGCGCCTGCTGGCGCCGGCCTCACCTCGTGGCCGCTCAGCCTCTTGACCTCCTCCTCCAGGAGCTGCACCCTCTTCCAGCACCTCTCCGCCACCTCGAAGGCCGCGTCGCCGGGGCCACCATCGTCGCTTCTTCGCGGCGGCGCCGCCGGCTGCTGCGGGCCGCGGCGGTGGCGGGAGAGGCAGGAGCAGGACATGAGGCCGGAGCAGCCCGTGGAGACCACGGGCGGCGCGGGCGCCGGCGGTTTCTCGCGGGACATGGATCGCGCTGCCGATGTGCCGGTGGCGAGTGGCATCGGATCCTCGATGCGCTTGCGCCCTTGCACGTACGCACTCTGCTGCTGGCGGGCTTTGCCAATTCTTTTGTAGGTGCGGTGCGGGCGGGCGGCGGTTCAACGGCGGCTGGTGGAGTGGGAGCCGTTGGGGTTAGTTGCGATCGCGATTCATGAGGCGGCAGTTCGAATTCGAACTTGAACTCGAGTGCCATCGAGCTTTGCGGCGGCGAGTGTACGTGCAGAGCTTGACGCGGTGACGCCGGCCGTAGTGTGCGGTGAGCCGGTGATTGGACTGCCGATACGAACTGCAAGCGACGCAGTGACTTCGGGCTCATCAAGACTTGAGTTGCAGTAATGCTGCTGCTAGTTTGCATTGTACGCCTTGCACGTACTAGTATTGTTGAGTTCGTAACTTTTCACAGTAACACCAAGGACTAGTGGAAATCTGAAAGGAAAAAAGTTGACTACTCCCGACAACAAAAAATAAGGCAAGACAGGAAAAATAAATGAACATGAGCTTGAGGCATAGTATAGTAGGAACATTATTCTTTTTCACTTACCTTTTTTCGGTTGAAAAATTAACAGCATTTGACTGTAGTTCTCTATCACGCTCGTTGAAAGAATGCATGGATACTTCAACAACATCCTACCAATATAGTCTTGTTCAATGACAGCCTACAAATTCAGAAATTGTTCTTTATTTTTCACTTACCTTTTTCGGTTGAAAAACAATAGCAAATGACTGTAGTTCTCTATGACTCTATCACACCTGTTGTCGGATACTTCAGCAACATCCTGCCCTGTTTAGATCAGTTTTGGATTCTTAAAAATTCAATTTTTGTCAATAGTTCCTAAAATCTAGATTCTGAGGCAAAACTCATGGGGTGTTTGGAACCCTCAGTTTTTAAGAATACGACTTCATTTATTGCTTTACGGGCCACAAGAAACTAGCAAAAGGTGGGTATCAACAGCTTTCTGGTTTTAAAAATCTGACAAAAAACTAGCCGCAAAAACTGAGTCATATTTTTAAAAACTAGCAAAAACTGAAGGGATCTAAACAAGGCTTAATATTATTGTGTTATATTGTCAAGTGTACCAATCTAGCAGATTCCTATAACTACCACGAACAAAAACACCTTCTCCCATTCACAAATCCTAGGCTTAATTTCATTTTCAACGTCACAAAGAATGATAGGAGGAAATAACAACATAACTGATGCAATCTTTGGCTTTGGAATTCCAATGTGCTCGAGAAATTCCAATAATGGCTTGAGATGATTATTTTCTAAGCAGAGAAGAAACATTGTAAATGATTCGATGAGGTAATAACTACTCTCTCCATTTCAAAGTATAAGTCATTCTGATTTTTTAGAGAGTTAAGGCATCTCAAATTTAACTAAAATTATAGAAACATCAAATAGGTATACTTTGAAAATATATTTAATGAAAAATCTAATGATATTTATTTAGTATGATAAGCATTATTATTTTATTATTATATAAATTCAATCTATTTGACTCTCCAAGAAAGTTCGAATGCTTATAATTTGGGATGCAGGTCCTCTAACCTAACTAGTTAGATGGCTCCGGCGGCACCCCTCAGGTTCTGAGTTCGATTCCCCACGGGGACTAATTTCAGGCTTAAGGGTAAAAAAAATCCTCTCGTCTGTCCCACACCAAAGTATAAAGTCTATGGCCGTCCCATTTCACGGTGATGCAGGTGCCGTTGTATATGGGTGGAGCCGGGGTTCGGGGATTTTCTCAAACTGCGTGAGAAGTTCATCTTCTTAATGAAACACCGCGGGGACGTCTCTCTCCCGTGGCTCGAGTAATAAGGAAATGACACGTCTCAATGTCCTAACATGCTAACACCACCATACCTAGCCTCCATATGCAAGTGAAAAGATGATAAATTTTTTGGCTGCAAAATAGTGCAATGAACTCGTATGATTTTGGTTAGAGCATCTCCAGCAGTGCCCAATATCCCCCTATCTTCATAAAACTATCATATCAGGAACAATAATGTTTTTTCTTGCTCTAGCAGTTCTCTAATATATCTCCCTATTTTTTGGTGGACACAATATTTTCCTCATCTCTCCTCAAATCAAGGAGTTGTATCTCCATCAATGACATGGGACCATCCAAACTACCACTTTTTAGCTATCTTTTCTCCACTCCCGTGCGACTCACCTTCACATTGGCGGAGATATATTGGAGTATTGTTGTAGCAACTCGGTTAGCATTCATAAAATAATATTGGCCAACTCTAATACATGCATATGTTGGGGATACATATTGAGAAACTGTTTAACAAGTTTGCAAAATAGAGGAAGATTTCCATAGCTCTCCATTCCCCCCACACAATTGCAGCTGCGTACAATATTTGTTGAGAAAAAAAATCTTTTGACGATTTGAGTGTTCTCTGTTTAATCAAATGCATGCGATAAGAGGTCATGATGTAAAGTTCATTTTCGAGCTAAAAAGAACTCGTCGAATGCAAGCAAATTGAGGCCAACATATATATGGACTGTGAGGCCCACAACCAGCGACGTAAGAGCAACCACAATGTAGGGTAGCTTTTGTGTCAGTAGGCTATAGCTATTGTTGTTGCCACAACGGAGAAGTCTAAATGGACCAAAATATGGGGTCCATTAACACATTAAAAGAAGACACCCAACTATCCATGCCTCTTCTCCCTCGATTCCCCATCCCGCGAACGTCGAGTCGTGACCCGCCCCCCAAATCGCCTCCTCCGCTCATTGCTCCCCCTTCACCTCGCCTCTTCTCCATCCTCCGCTCTTGCACATTCATCGCCATGGCCCGCGTGCTCTGCGTGCTGCCTCGTTGGGGCATGGATGGTCGGGACGACAACTTTGCCGGTGACGGCCTTGCTGGGCACGTGGATGCCCGTAGCGGTGATCTTGCTGGGGCGCGCGGACACCCTGGACGATGGCCTCATTAGGCGTACGGACGACCTCCCATGGCATCCGAACCTTCAAGATTGGAACCGAGAGCGAGAGAGGCAGAGGAGGGAGAAGGAGTAATATTTGTTTGTTCCTTATGGGTAGTCTATGACACTATAGACACATTTTGCTATGGACTGTTATATTGACCACTTCTATAATGTGTCAGCCAGCCTTTAGCGAATATTTTAATATATGTGGACTTGTTTATGACAATATTGTGGTTGCTCTAAGTCGCCGATGTTGCAACTAGCTTGGACACTCCAACCCTAAGCTCTCGTCCCATGACTTTCACTCGGAAATGATAGATTATTGCGAAGGACTCAGGTACTGACACCGGTGGCGGTGCCATCCCACTCAAGTCTCTCCTTCGCCGTTGACTTCCACTTAGGAGCTCAACTTCGTTACCAGACACAGACAGCTCCGACACTGGTATTTAAAAAACAAACACCTCCGACACTGGTATTTTAAAAACAAACAGAGTCCGATTCACCGTCTGGAATACTGAAATTCGCGGTAGCAGGCGCCTATAACCCGAGAGTGCCGGTAGCCACCCTCCCACGTCCGGACGTCCCACGTGCCCAACTCCAAGAACCCCAGCAATAATCCACCATGTCATCGGCGGCGAACGCCCTGGGGCTCCCGCCGGGGGTCCGGTTCGACCCCACGCCCGAGGAGCTCGTCGAGTTCTACCTCATGCCGCGCGCCTTGGGACAGCCCACCGCGGTACCGGGTATCATCATCGAGGACGCCGAGGCCACCACCAGCTCGCGCCACCCCTGGAAGCTGCTCACGCGCAACCGGCGCACCGACGACGACGAGGCCTACTTCTTCGAGCGCATCGCGACGAGCGGCGACGACGCCAAGGGCGGCGCTGCTGCTCGCCAGGACCGCAGCTGCGGCGGCGGCCGCTGGACGTGGGTGGGGCAGAAGCGTTTCCCGGACGAGGTGCTGCCCCTGCGCGGCGAGGGCGAGCAGGTGTCGTGGGGCAAGTACTCGCTCAACCTGCAGGAGGGCCGGCGCAAGGGCGGCAGCACGGGATGGGTCATGCACGAGTACACCATCGCCTCGCCGCAGTGCCCGTGCCCCGTCAAGCTCTGCCATGTCGCCTTCACCGGCCACGGCCAGAAGCGCCAGCGCGTGCCCGACGACGGCGAGGGCGAGGGCCAAGAGCTAGAAGCCGGGACGCCTCAGAACAAGCGCGTCGCCACCGTGTCGACGCCTTCGTCTTCCGCGATAACGACGCCGACGCCGGATCATGGCCTCCGGGAGACGCGTGCGCAGAATCAACAACAGACGACATCATCGGTTGGGAATTTCTGGGGCTCAGACGCTGGATTCAGCCAAGAATCATCTATCCGATTTAGCCAAGAATCATCCATCACCATCCTGGATCCTTGGTACCCTGACGCCAGAACAAGCCATCAAGAACCCTTTCTGCTGGATCAGGGACTCGCTCAAAACCAAGAATATTTCTCATCGAACCAGCCACAAGCTTACCATCAAGAACAATTCGTGAACCAGGGGATGCCATCCGCTGAAGCTTTTTGCGCAATGCTATTGGCATCAGGCCTCGGATCATCAAACCCAGGCCAAGAACCTCCGTCAGGGCAGCCTCTTACTAAAGAAGAGCAATTGAGCCTGCAGCTGGATCAGCTTTTTGGCGGCATCAGCACGCCGCACTGCCCTCCCATACAACCGGTCACGGTCAGTGACGACGCCGCGTACCACGAGGAGCACATCCAGACAACGGCACCTGCAGCGACGGCCGATCTCCCGCTGCCGATGGATCAAGAATCCTTCACAACGGAGCAATCGCATGGAGACATGGACGATCTACCTGAGTTCTTCAAGGGATGGAGCGATCTCGACACCTTCACCGACACGTCAGGCGTGCAAGACTACGACGATGGCATCGCTGCCGGAACTCTTGCCGCCGATGACCCTGCAGATGGAACCTGCTATGACGGGGGAAACGGAAATTTTGCAGCCCTAGTTACGACATAGGTGTCCCATAAGAAT